GTCTTCAAAATAATTTTGTATGCAGAACTACATCCTTCTGCCACAGACTCAAATCTCAAAGCTTATTGTATTACTGTATTAAAAGGTCACTGTATTATGTAGATTTGTAGAATATTATAAAATGGTTAGTTCCAGTCCTTGATTGTGATTGATCAACAGCTGTGTTTTTTTCAAAATAAAGTATGGCTATGACCGATTCACCCAACTGTTCTATGAATCACTGCGCAACACCCTTAGCAACATAATCAATATATAGCGTCAAAACTGTTCCATGTATTATATTAGCAAAATTAACTGTTTATTATTTATATAAATGAATCATGAATGACCCCTGCTGGTGTTATGTTGCATTGATCACCATCCACCACCCCCGCACCGTTGTGTGGTAACTGTTTTATAAAAGCAATAAGTAAGTTTGGTGATTAATGTGCTATTACTATACATATCACAGTAAAACTACAGTTACATGTCCTGTTTACTGTGTTTTAACTTCAAATTTAACAGTAAAATTACAGTTACTGTTGTAAGTGTTGTGGTTACCATGGTTTTACTACAAATACAACTTACATCTTTGAACCTGATATGAATATAAAACTGATCCAAGGTCTATGGCACGTCACGTGACAGATAAGTTAGCGTTTAATCACCCTAGTTAGCAGGTGTGTTCATTTAGTTAAACGCAATGAAACTCAAAGACAGCCTCGGATGACCGATATAATACAGCGAATAAACCCACGGCGCTAAACTGATCAAAAAAGAAGCCATAATAAATTTTATAACCGACATTAAGACAGCGTATTTACGACTACTCACCCAACCAAACGACTACTCACCCAACCGGTGGCAAATATCGCGATGTGTGCTGAATGAGACTTCTTGAACGTGATTTCATAACGATCATCATTCTCATGCCTTTCGCGTCTGTGTACTGACGCCAAAAGTTTCCCATTGAAAACAATGTAGGTCCCAGTTCGTCGATATAGTGGGGCACCTTTGGCGTCTTCATAGTGACACTAAAGGCGCTTGACCATGCTTCGGTTTTTGACGCCTTGGGAGTGAGAATGGGTTAGAATGGGTGTTTAGTCTTGTTTTTGAAGCAAACAAGTGCAGTTAAGTGCATTTTAAGTGCATTTTACGTAAAACATGCAAAATTGTCCGCCGTATAAGAAAAATAATCTTAATGCAAACGGAAACAAGCATATTTTTAATTTCTTACCCCACTGGCATATAATTAGCAAAATAAGAAAAATGCACTTAAATAATTTCCCCCCCATGGAAACAAGACTAAATACCTTGTCTTTTTTATGTAGAAAATGCATCTTGATTTAAGAATATTTAGATACATAAATTTGTAGGGAGTTTTTTTTTTTGCCATATTCATATATGCCACATGCATATTTATTTGAGCTGTAGCAATTTAAACGGTAGTTTTCTTTAAAACATCGGAGATGCAGAGCACATTAGTAAGGCCGCTCTATGCAGACTGATAAGGAAAGTGTGCGTTGCTCTCACGCTCGTTCTGAGAATTTTTCCCTGGGCACAAATCTGTCAAAGAGGAGTTTCACAGGACTGTAGGTCAGTGTTGTAGAAATTGGTTTAAATGAGGCTAATCTGATAAATGATGTTCACTTGATAACATCTTGCTGCAACCTCTGGAAGTAACCCAATAATTAGAATTTTCTTCAGGATTTCCAGTGTGGTTG